GGGGCTACAGGGAGACCCTGTCTCAAAAAGACCAAAAAAAAAAATCAAAAAATTTTAAATTATTGTTTTTTTAAATGACATGCATTTTTAAATCTTTATGTATATGACTGTATTGCTTTCATGCAGTGTGCATGGAAGTCAGAAGAAGGCATTAGATCCCCTGGAACTGGAGTTATAGGTGGTTGTTAGCTACCATGTGGGTGCTAGGAATCGAACCCAGGTCCTCTGCAAGAGCAGCCAGTGCTCTTAACTGCTAAGTCATCTCTTCAGCCCTAAAAATTCTTTTTTTATTTTATTTTTTGGTCTTTTTGAGACAGGGTCTCCATGTAGCCCTAGCTGGCCTGGAACTCACTATGTAGACCAGGCTGGCCTTGAACTCACAGAGATCCTCCTGCCTCTGCCCCTGGAGTGCTGGGATTAAAGGCACAAGCCACCAAGCCCAGCTTAAAAATTATCTTTTTTAAAGTCAAAGAATATGGGTTCTGGAGGGAATAGCCTGAGTTCCATCATATGTTCATAACTTATTACCTGTGTGACCTTTGGTGAGTCACGGAATCCCTCTGTGTCTGTTTAAATGGAGATGGTGATATACCTCCCAGGCTTCTTTGAATGACTCCAAGAGCTAAACCTGCAAGACATTTACAAGATCATAGACTAACTATTCAAAGCAAGTTATTCTTTTCCCTTGAGTGTGCCACTGATGACTGAAGTCACCTGTATTTTGTACAGCAGTAAGAAACCAGCCAATAACAGCTGTAAGACAGAACCAATAAGGTACTTGTCAGTTTCAGAGATGCGGGTGTAACAAAAAGACATCTTAGAATCAGTGAAATCTGGTGCACTTGTCCTGTGGTCTTCACCAGCGTGTTTTACCTCCGTTGTCCACACCCCACACCTTTGTGCACACTGGGGATGTGTTTGTATGTCTGTTTACTTGGCTCTCTCCGCCCCCGCACCTCCAGACAAATTTTACCCAAACCATAAGGCCCACACTAAATAACCATTTCTGTGAATCTTTTCTGAATCAGTCAGAATTACTGGTCCCTCTTCAGTGTGCGCTCATGATCGTTTGTAAATCTCACATTGACTGACCATCCCACCCTACGGCTGTCTGAGTGCCTCTCTTCAATTGGATGCTTTTTTGTTATTTTTTATTATATTTACTTATTGTATGTGTGTGTGTGTGCACATGCTTGTACACACAAGCGGCATACGTGTGGAGAGCAGAGGACAACTTGCCTGTCAGTTCTCTCCTTCTATCACGTGGGTCCCAGGGATCAAACTCAGGCTGTCAAATTTGGTGGCAAGCACCTTTACCCACTGAGCCATTTCGACAGTCCCCTCTTCCTTTAATGATGGTGCAGAGCTTAGCAGGCCCCCACCGATCTTTGGTAAGATGGAGAACTCAAGCAGGTATCAGAAGGGTAAATCAAATAGTCCCCAGCCTGATGGATGAGCCCTGGGGACTGCCTGACAGAATAAGAATGAAATTCTGAGAGTGACTTAAGGGTGGTCTTCAGGCACATAAAGGAGTGACACCACCCCCAGAGGACAGGCTTCTGTGTGCCTGAGGGATCAAGGTCAGTCCTTAGGACAGTTCTTCAATGTGGGGAGTTCTGGAATGGATTACTAGGGTTAGTACCTGTATCTTTTTTTTTTTTTTTGGTCTTTTTGAGACAGGGTTTCCCTGTAGCCCCAGCTGTCCTGGAGCTCACTATGTAGACCAGGCTGGCCTTGAACTCACAGAGATCTGCCTGCCTCTGACTCCCGAGTGCTGGGATTAAAGGTGTGCGCCACCACACCTGGCATTAGTACTTGTATCCTTTTCTCAGGTGGTCACCAATAGTAAATAACCCAAATAGCTTCAAACAATAGTTCTCAAGCTTTAGCTTGATTCAGACTTACCTATGGGGCTCATTAAAACTCATGTGCTTCCTAACTGTCTTGCAGAATTTCTGATTCGGGAAGTCTGGGCTAGGACCCCAGTATTTGTAGCAACTCCCCCGGTGATTCTGGTACCGCTGGTCTGCAACCATGCTTTGAGATGGCTTCTGCTGCTTGGAGGCGGGCTGATGGACCACAGAACTGTTACAATTCTATGACAGAATCTATTTTTGGTTGTTCTAGGTGTTTCTAACTGGGGAGGCTATGCCCTGGCCTGTGCACTGTACATCCTGAACTCATGCGAGGTCCATGGGCGTTACCTGAGGAAGGCAATTGGGCCTTCCAGGATACCCAGGGAGCAAAGCTGGACTCAGGCCCTGCCATCTGTCACTAAGGTAACACAACCACTGACCTAGAAGCAACTCTTTTGTCAGATGAGGAGTAAATAGGCCTGAGTGTTCCAGACCAGAAGCCCACAGTAGGCACCACGCTGCCTGTCAAAAGGCAAAGGCAAAGCTAATCGTGAGAGAATGTCTCCCTGCTGGATCAGACTAGAGGATAGGGACAGATAATTCTTTACCCTGTTACTGAGTCATATGTAAGGCCTATTTTGAGTGATTATTTCCTTTCTAGTTTGACTAGTCAAGTAGCTTACCTTCCCTGAGCCTGAGTCTTTGCAAAGTGGTTACAGTTGTCACGGTTGGAAGACATCATCTGGGTTGTGGTCATGGGGTGTCCTTACCGTCCTCTCCATGGAGGTGGCAACTCAGTGAGGGCACTAAAGCACCTTGGTTAACATAAGTGCTAAGGTATGGGGTAGATCAGGTGGGAAAAGAATCTTACATTCATAGGCTAGAAGAAATCTACCAGGCAGAAGGGGAGGCATTCAGGTGGGAAGAGCAAAGGCACAGTTTAGTCCTGGGTTGTGCGACTGTTCCCAGTTGGAGGGTTCTAGGCACAGGTGCAATGGGAGTCAGAGGAGGGCTTCTGAGCCCAGGATCCACAAAGAGGGGCTCCAAAAGTCTCCAAAACTGCTTTCAAAATTGTTCCTGTACATGTACATTTCTGACAAGGAAACTGGAGCCTATTGTTGGTTTTGTCTAAGCTCCTCAGAGTCAGCAACCCTGTGCACAGTTCCAGGCCTGTGTTATATAGTCCAGGGCAGAGTATTCACACATCTAACTTAAGAGAAATGGCCAGTCCTGAACTCAGTGCTGGTGACTCAAGCCTAACAGTGAGAGGTGGCTCAATGGGCCATCCTTTCCTCAGGCCTCACTCCCCACAGACCTCTGGGAGCCACCCTGCTTGCCAGCACTGATTCCAGACCCACACCTGACTCCTTGACATAGAGGGCATAGACAGTGTGTTCATCTCTTGTTGGACACCTCCATGGGGAGTTTGAATCACAGGAAGTTGGTCAGAGGCCTAGTCAAGTATGACCTTTGAACAGGTGGGAGGGCTGGGAACACCGTGGGAGAATGCTGGGGCGTTTGACCTAAAAGAGAGAAGACTCAAAGCTGGGTGTGGTGGTGCACACCTTTGATCTCAACACTCAGGAGGCAGAGGCAGGCAGATCTCTGTGAGTTCAAGGCCAGCCTGGTCTACATAGTGAGCTCCAGGCCAGCTAGGGACTACAGGGAGACCCTGTCTCAAAAAGACCAAAGAGAGAGAGAGAGAAAGAGAGAGAGAGAGGAAACTCAGTGAAGACTTACACCAAATGGCTTCCTGGGGACAGAGGACAGACAACCCCTCAGTCTGAAGGCCAAGAACAGAACAGAAAGCAGATATTCTAAGAGCAAGAACCAGTTCAATAAGTTCTTTCTAGCATTAACCAACTGACTGTCTTACCAGGAGAGAGCTCTATGACACAGGGTCCCCCTTCAGGGATGTGGGGACCAGTTTCATGGGCTAGATCAAGCTGACTAAGTCAGGATGGACTGCTCAGTGCCACTCCAGCCAGTCTGAAACAGAACTAGGCACTTGGCCTGTACTTATGGCATCACTTTTGCAAATGTGTCCCCCACTCAAAGGCCTAGATTAGTAAATGTTAAAAATCAAATGACCAGAGGTCAGCAACCATGTCTTTTTTACCTGCTCTCCCAGTGACCAGGAGAGGGAAATCCAGTGATTAGTGCTGGGTCGTGACTGAATCCTTGCTAGGTCAGTGAATGAATGCAGTGCTGTATGAGAGCTATGCTTCTCAAATTCTAGAAGCATTGGGGTTACCTGAGAAGACTGTGCATGTGTGTATTCATGTGTGTGTAGGTATGCATGTGTATGTTGGTATGCATGTATATGTATGTGTGTGTGTACATGTGGAAGCCAGAGGACAACCTTGAGTATCTTCCTCAGGAGCTATGAACCTTGTTTTTTTAAGACAAAGTCTCTCATTTGCCTGAAGCTTGCCAAGTGGGCTAGGCTGGCTGGCCAGTGGCCCACAGCGACCTACCTGTCCACGCCTCTCCAGCACTAGGATTACAAACATGAGCTACCCACACCCAGCTTTTTAAAAAATATTTTATTTATTATTTTTATTTTATGTGCATGAATGTATTGCCCACATGTAGGTAGGTGCATCTGTGCTGTGCAATGCCCATAGAGGTCAGAAGAGGGTGTTGGATCCCCTAGAACTGGAGTTACATACAGCTGTTAGCCGCCAAGTGGGTGCTTGGAATCAAACCCAGGTCCTCTGCAAGAGAAGTCAGTGTTCTTAACCACTGAGCCATCTCTCTAGCCCAGCCACACCTGAATTTTTAAAAATCTAGATTCTAGGAATTGAACTCAAGTCTTTGTGCTTGCTAGGCAAGCACTTTACCTACTGAGTTATCACCCTAGCCATAAGGACCTTGTTAAACATACAGTGCTGAGCCTATCTTCTGGGTTTCTGACTTGGAAGATCTGAGGCAGGTCAGAAAACCTGAATTCTTGACAAGTTCCCAGGTGGTGTGGACCTTTGGAGACTCAATTGGTTACTGGGTTGGTTTCCAGGGCTGTGCATTGGTCTTCTAGAGGCAGCAACTATAGGAATGACTTTTGCAACTTGGACATACTTCACTTATAAAACAAAGAAGGTGGAACTGCAAGAATGACTTTTACAATATGGATACAATCTGTACGAATGACTTTTACCTAAGCCAGCAACCAAAAAGTTATCATGTAAACAAGATCAGTGAGCCATGTGCTCCTCTTGTGACCTAGGCACCTGGCTTTAATCTCTCAGGAGCCCACCTTGCTGTCCACCCAAGACAGTGAATGAATGTGGGTGTGCTTGTTTAACAATGAGAAGAGTTGAGAAGTCTGTCTGAGAGTATGTGTGTGATATTCTAGGCCTAGGGATCAAAGGTAAGATTCTCTGATAAGGGTGGATCCTGACTTCCACCTTCCCAATTCATACTGGAGATACTGTTTCAATAAAGAGCGCATGAAGCCTGGCTCAAGAGCACAGTTCAGTGATAGCTTAAGGAATGTATTTGGGTCTATTCTTGGCCTTAAACTGAATGCCAAGAGTCAGGCTGTTTCTTTCTTCAGGTATAACTGCAATGTGACTTAGAAAAGCTGTGAATGGCCGGGCGTGGTGGCGCACACCTGTAGTCCCAGCACTTGGGAAGCAGAGGCAGGCAGATCTCTGTGAGTTCAAGGCCAGCCTGGTCTACATAGTGAGTTCCAGGACAGCTGGGGCTACAGAGAGACCCTGTCTCAAAAAGACCAAAAAAAAAAAAAAAAAAGCCGTGAACAACTTCCTGAGTGACCCAAGAAGGGACCGATAATTGTGACAAGTCTCCTAGCTCGCCAAGGGCTGAGCCCCTGAGACCCGGTTGCTGACAAGCCTTTCTATCTAGAGCCACTCGTTACAGCCTCTTTTCTTTCTTTCATGTTGTATCCTTTCTGTTCCCTTTTCCCTTCAGCCTGTTTCTCCTTCCCTGGTTCTCATGTCTCTTTTCTCTCCTGCATCCTCCCACTTGCTGAGTCTTCCTGGGCTGGTTTTATTCTTTCCACAGAGAAGGAAGACAGCTCTGGGTGGTAGGTGTTTACCAAGACCACCCATCAAAGGGGTAGAGCTGAGAGAGGGGTGTGGGTCTCTCTGATCCAGACTCTGGACTTTTGTCAAAGTGGCTCAGAAGTTCCTCAGCTCCTAGAAATGCCAGGGCATGGAAGGGTGTGGTGCTAGAGTGGCATTTTCAGGGGGAAATGGTCTTGTCTTTCCTGGGGGGCCCAGAGGGTCTTCTGTTCTTCCTACTTCCTGCATCAGAGCTGGAAAACACAAGAGGTGCTGCCTCTCACATGACTCTTGATTCACACAAACACAAAGCATGAATGGCCCCACACTCACCCTCCAGGGGTGGAAAATTCTCCTCTTGGCATGGATGCCCAGTCCCTCAGAAGTATATTAACAATGTGCCAATCTTAAGGAGGAAATGGAAGGGCATGTTTTTAAAGCAAAAGCAGAAGTGCATTTGCTGAGCCCCTCCTGAAGGCCAGGCCCAGGCTTGTTCTGGGAAACAATGAAAAGTCAGACTCGGCCCCTAGGGAAGGAGCTTGGGGAACACAGCAGAGCGACACAGGAGCCAGATAGAAAGCTCTCTCTCTTCCCCAGATTGCTATGAAAGTCCTAGGCTCAAGTCATCCTTTACCTCAGCCTCGCAAGGAGCTGGGACTACAGGAATGCCCAGTTTCCCAACTCATCTTATTTTAAAACAATTTCCAACTCACTTTAAAAAAATAACATCATTTCCCATAAATATCAGCCCTTTGTGGCCTCGAGTATATTATTCACAGGTGCCCACACCTGCCTCTCAGCCTGGAAATCATCCTAGGATTCCCCCACCCCCACCCCCACTGCCATCTACCTTGACCCAAGCCCCAAGGCCTGTCTACTCTGGCTCACTCTGGCCCTCTTTCCCTGTCTCCTGCTTCGCTGTCTGCCTCAGCTTGGCCAGGACAGCAGCCTCCATCTCTGCTCCAGCAGTGGAGGAACCACCCTCTCCATTGGGTTCTTTCTGGAAATTTACTGGAAGTGGCGATTGGCCCAGTTGGTCCCTGTGGCTCTTAGAGGCCGAGTGCCAGCCAGTTCCTAACCTGTTGGCTGTTCACATTCACCCTGAGGACTCCACAGCCCCCCTCAGGTCCCAGAAGGATAGAAGAGAGCAGGCAGCTGCTGGGAGGAAATGGCTCCATAGTTCCAGATGCATTGATCCATAAAGAGAGGATATGAGCAATAGGGAAGAGAAATGGGAGAACCAAGCCCAAACAAAGGACAGGAAATGCCTCTCTGGGCTGGGTAGCCCCTGGCAGGGGACTGTGAACAAGGAACTTGTGTGGAAATGTGGAAATAGACTTGGACCTCCCTCTTATAAGGAAATATCTACCTTCACCCAGAAATGCGGACAGAAATGCAGGTTCTAGGACCAGCTGCAAAGAGATAGTTCCCAGGTTACATTTGCCAATCCTTCCCCACATTGTTTTTCTGTTATGTGTATGTATGTGTATGTGTACATATTTGTGTGCATATATGTCTATGGGTGCACTTGCATGTGTATACACATGCATGTGGAAGTCAGAGGTTGACAACAGCTGTCTCCTTTAATCACTTTCCTCCTTGTTTTCCAAGACAGGCTCTCTCATTGAACCTGGAGTTTACCAGTCAGCTAGACTGACTGGCCAGCAAGCCCCAGGGAACCCCACTGACTCCGCCTTCCACCAGTGTGATTACAGGTGTTCACTGGCTGCACCTTGCTTTTACACGGGTGCTGGGGATCAAACCCAGGTTCTCATGTTTATATGGCAAAGAATTTACTAGCTGAGTCCTCTCCCCAACGCCCTACCCTAATTATTTTGAAGTTTCCAGTGAGTGTCTCCAAGGCCCTTCAAGTGGCTCATTATGACTCTTTCATTCTCTTATGTTAGCTGCCCTAGGTCTCAGTCAGTGCAGCCGCTGTAACAAAACACCATAGACTAAGGGGCACATAGTGTTAGGACATAGTATGTGCTTAGTTCTTATATTTCTAGAGGCAAGGAAATCCAATATCAAGGTCCCAGTACAGTCAGTGTGCTGGAGGGGGGGGGGCTGTGTCTTCATAGTTTATTTTATTTATTTTTATGTGCATGAGTGTTTTGCCTGCATGTATACAAGTGCACCCATGTTGTGCAAAGCCTGTGGAAGCCAGAAGAGGGCGTTGGATCTCCAGGAACTGAAATTACAGGTGGGTGTTAGCCATCATGGGGGTGCTGGGAATCGAATTTGGATCCTCTGAAAGGGCAGCTGGTGTCATCTCTCCAGTGGCCGCCTTCTCAGCGTATCCTCGAGTAGTTGAGACAGAAAGCACTCCATGCCTCATCTTCCTATAAGAGCACTAATCTCCTCATGGGGGCTCCACCCTCATGACCTCATCTTAACCTTATTTCCCAAAGCTCTGCCTCCAAATACCATCATATTGAGGGTTTGAGCGAACACAAAGATGCCACCTATAATAATTCTCCATAAAATCTCCCCTGGGTCACCCCATTAAACTGAGTTTTGTGTTCTTGTTCTGTGATTCTGTATGTACTGTAACTGCCTGGTCAGTCATCTAGACTGGGACCACCTGGGCGCGGGGAGCATGTCACACTCACCCTTGGATGTTTAGCAGGTGCTCACTAAAACTGATGAGCAAATGCCCAAGCAGGAAGCTGACAGCCCTCTCCCACCGGCCCACTTCCTACTCTACATTCCTTTGGTTCCCTCCTATCACTCCTGTCTTTGCCTATGGAAGAGGCAGAGGGAGGATGTGTTTGTCTTCGACTGGTACTGCCTGCTGCCTTCACCTGACTGTTCCACAGGGACAGACCTGTTAGTAGCTCAAACAAGCGATTCTTTGGGACCTTACTTTTAGAGAGAAAAGAAAGGCGGGAAACCAACCCCTACCCCTTAACCAGCAGGTGAGTTAAAGAAAGCAAACTCTGGGCTTTCAGCTCTGCCAATGATAAACAGCCTCATTTCATGGGTGCCTACTATGGGCCAAGGGCCACGCTAGGTGCTTTACCTCCAGAATCTCATTTAATCCCCCAACAGCCTATGAAGGCCACGTTGCTATCAATATCAGCAACTTCCCCATCTTACAGATTAGGATTCCAAGACGGAGAGGTTAAGTCACCTGCCAGGAAAGATCTGCATCAGGTCCATCTAACTCCAAAGCCCCTCTGTCTGCTTGGTCTAAACTGCATTTTCTTCATGGTCCTGCTCCCTCCAAAGTTGTCTATTTTGGGAAACACAGATAGCAGCAGCAGGATTTAGTGGCCACCCAGCAGGAGGCTAACAGTGAGTCTCAGGAGGCACAGGGCCTTCAAGACCCCTGGGAGTTCATCCACTGCTTGCTCAGAGGCTGGGTTGGCAGGAGGACAGCATCTCTGATGAGTGTTAGGATAATGCAGGTCTCAACATGAGCATGGATTGTGGTCACATAAAAGTAAGTGCCTAGGGGCTGGAGAGGTGGCTCAGCGGTGAAGAGCACTGACTGCTCTTGCAGAGGATCTGGGCTGGATTCCCAGTGCACACATGGTGGCTACGAGCTGTCCTTGACTCCAGTTCCAGGGGAATCCGAAGCCCTCTTCTGACCTCCACAGCATTGCACAACACTGGTGCACTCACATGCAGACAATACACTCATACACATAAAATAAAAATAATAAATAAAATATTTTTTTTAAAAAAAAGTAAGTCCCTAAAGAAACAGCTGACCTATTCAAAAGCTTTTGTTTCTGTTTGAGACAGGGTCTCACTCTGTAGGCCAGGCTGGCCTGGAACTCACTGTAATCCTCCTGCCTCAGCCCCTCAGTTATTGGGATGACAGGTGTGAGCTACCACATCCAGCTCTGGGTTCTGTTTTTCATAAGGAGCTTTCCAGTGAGATGATATTTTTAATCAAAATTTTTACTTTTTAAAAAAGAGACAGGTTGCTATTGTAGAGGCAGAGGCAGGAAGATCTCTATAAATGTAAAGCCAGCCTGGTCTACATAGTGAATTCCCAGGCTAGTCAAGGCTGCATAGTGAGACCCTGGAGGTGCAGGGCGGGTAGCAAAAGCTCTTGCTTCTCTTAGATGTATACATTTCTTTCTCCCTTTCCCCATGTGACATCCATCTCTGCCTCATTTCCACCCTCCAACCAGGAAGAAAAAATGCTGGGCATCCTGGTACAGCACCGAGTCCGGAGTGGAGTCTCAGGCATCTTGGGCATGGAAGTGGACGGGCTGCCTTTCCACAGTGTCCATGCAGAGATGATCCAGAAGCTTCTGGGTGTCACCACAGTGTGCATGTGATCACCTCTGTTTGTGTGCAAAGCTCCTACCTGATGGCCCAGCCTGTGTCTAGGTGGGATTTTCCCGAAAGCCCCCAACTTCTTCCCACAAGAGCCTTGTGGATTCTTACTGGCCCTGGGTGAGCCCAAATGCCACTGATCTGGGAAGCTGCATGCCACTTCCTGGGAGGGAACAGTGCCTTTGGTATGGACCAAGGACTTTTCTGTGGGATTGTGCTTTCAGTGCGGGTACTTTAGAGGCATTGTTTGAACTGCTCTCCATCCCAGCTTCTTCAGGCCACCCATGTGTTCCGCTCTGAGAATCCTCTCACCCACTACTTAGGAGGATGCTTGTCAACAATCAGCTGCTAGGCAGAGCACAAGAATAGGCATCTCCACAGCTTGGGCTAAGAAAGGGTAGCATGCCCAAGTGTGGAGTGTGTGGTTAAAAATGCTGGGGCTTTGTAGTCACCACTAGCAGCAAAATACTTATACTTTTGAAATGCTTTCTTATTTTCAAATACTATTCTGTTTACTTGGGCACAAGATCCCTCCAGCCATCACATCTCACTGCCCCTCACCTCCATTTACCCCCAACCCCCCGACGTTTCTTATTCCTCCTTCCCATCTGCTCACTCTGGCCCCGGGTCAGATATTTTGACCTTCCTGCAAAGGAAGACAGACACATTGGCCCCTAGAGACCAAGGGTAGGTCAGACCAGCCCAGGGCTCAGGCAGATCGGCTTGCCCTGACCTTTTTCACAGTCTTCCACCCCACATTTCCCAGCAAAGTCAAAAACTGAGCTGCTGACTGCACCCCATTATGCATTTAGTTCTAGTTCCAGGATGATATCTTGTGCGGGACCTGCTGTGGCAGCTCTGCAACACAGAGCTGTTTCGTTCCCTTAAACATCTCTGGTTTGGTTCTTTCATGGGCATTCATTGTGAGCAAGGAAATGTGGCTGGATTTCACACTCCAATAAAGCATAAGTATGAAGACAAGTGGTTCTGTAGTTAACTTCCACTATCTAGATCTCCCTTTGCTCTTCCGGCCGGGGTTCACACCTAGAGTTTATACTTGTGCTGGTGGGATGCACCCAAATCAAAAGCCCTGCCACTTACTTCACAGGTCAGTGAACCTACTTCAACTCTGCAACCTCACAGGTCTCTTAGAGTTATCATTTTTGTTCGCTGCAGAGTTCCTTCCATGTCATGAGAGACTCAGATAAAAAGGGTACCCCAATATTTTTTTTAATTAAAAAATATTTTATTATTTTTATTATATGTGTATGCATCCAAGTGATACCCTATTGCTCAGGTCAGAAAGGCATTCCTCTGAGGTCATTGCTTGCCTCATCTTGCGAGCCAGTCCCAACTTGGCCCAGCCCACTGTATTTCCTACTTCTTGCCCATTACACATGGATTACACACAGGTCCACCATGAAGTTCCTGGCTCTCTAGGCAAGGTGGAGAATGTGTGGCTTACTAGCAACTTATGTATTCTCTACATCCGTGATATAATGTGCTGGCCAGAAGTACAGAAACAGGAAAATGGTCCTTTCTCCCTGGGGTAGGACAGATAAGCCTTCATCTCAGTTCTGATTCAGGCATCACATTTGAAGAGGTGGGTTTTTTTCAAATGAGGGGAGAGCTTAAGACCTAAGGAGAGGTGGCTTGAAGAACTATTAGACTAGCCAGATAGTCACCAATTCTACCTCCTTTTCCTGATGCCTAGGGAAACTATATTTCCCAGCCTCCTTTGCAGTTGGGGCCATGTGACTAGGATCTGGATGATGGAGTGTAAGTAACAGGGACATCAAGCACTTCTGTACTCCCATGTGGGATTCTCTTTGTGCTGTTTCTTCTACAATGGGAAGGGAAAATCCCATGATGGAATTTCATGAAGGATTCTGAATCACTGCCACCACTTGGAAATTTTTCAAGATTGACTGGAAAACAGCCTCTCATTGGACTTCTAAAAAAAATGTGTCTGTATATATACATGGGTTTCTGTGCATATGGAGGCCACAAATTGATATCAGATGTCTTCCTCAACTGCTCTCCACCTTATATTTTTGAGACAAGGTCTCTCCCTGAACCTGGAGCTTGTCAATTCGGCTAGACAGGCTGGGAAGCAAGCCCCAGCTAGCTTCCTGTCTCTGCCTCCCCATGAGATTACAGGTGTCATGCATCTGCGCAGAGATGGAACTCAAGTCCTCATGCTTGCCCAGTAGGCCATTTCTCCAATCTCCTCTCATCAGACTTTTTATAAGTACAAGATTAAACTAGTACTGGTGGGGCTGGAGAGGTGGCTCAGCAGCTAAGAGCACCTGCTGCTCTTGCAGAGGACCCAGGTTTGATTCTCAGCACCTACATGGTAGCCAACAACTGTCTGTAACTCCAGTTCTAAGGGATCTGACGCCCTCTTTTGACCTCCTTGGACACTGCATAACCTGGGTACACTTACATGTAGACAGGCAATACACTCATACACATAAAGAACCCCAAAACTTGTATTGGTCATTTGTTTGTCATTTTGGTTTTTTTGTTTGCTTTGGTGCTGGAGACTGAGCTCAGCACTAACCATGTGCCCTACCACTGAGCTACACCCTTAACCTTTCTTTCTCATGACACTGTGATTTGGATGGGAGTTGTTACTCCAGGATAAACAAGCCTTGTTTAATCCATGTTAGAATATTAACACTAAGAAGTGTCATCAGATATCAGCATCTGAAGGGTCACATGACTCCAGCAGCCACAGTTAGCAACAGTGGGTAAAGCCATTCTGCTTTGGCCTCTTAGGAGTTAAGATTTCTGCCCTGCTCTGGAATGGCTTGTCTGGGATCATAGTGAGTTAGCTGCCATTGGTGGTATCTGTGGGGAGGCTGGATCATCAGTTTTGAGGGATGCCGAAGGATTACTTTATGATGAGGAAGTTGGGTGTTGTGACATCTCCAGTATACTACAACACCAATAGCTAATGTTTAATGTAGCAACATCCCTCTGATAGTTGTTGAATTAAAGCAGATGAGGCTGAAATCCCACCATTTCTCCCAGAGTGCTGGGTACCACTGTGCCCAGATGACTTCTAGGAGTGGAGACTGCAGAGTCAGATGCAAGAAGCCGTTTTGCCAGAATAGCATGATGCTAACAGGGTCAGAGTCTAGCTCTCTCTTGGATGTACAAGCGGGTGGAAGGCAGCAGATGGGGACGTATCCTGTGCTGCAGCTTTCTCCCACTCTTTGGGCCAACCCACAGACCAGTGTGTATAAACAGGAAGATGAGCTTTTGTCTTACTAAGCAACTCTGGTGAATAAGAAAGGAATTTTAATGGCTTTTGCCACCTTCGGTCCAAACCAGTCCAAACGGACGTTTTCCCCCAGCCCTTCTTTCAGGAAAGTAAGTCTTAATCCCTAACAGTGTCCTTGCTTAGTCTGTTTGGAAGAAGGATCTAGTCTTCCATAACACTTCAGGACTCCAGGAGCCTGACCCACAGAGGGATTAAGTGGTCAAAATTAAATTTATATTTCAATAGGATGCAGTTAATCCTTAGTGATAAACATGGAGTTGAGAAGCTGCCCCAGCAGACAGAGTGTCAACAAACAAGGTGGGCATCCCCTAACATGAGCCAGACATGGAGGAAATCCGGAGAGAGATGAGTGCACTGGGCCCTTCTACTCAGAGGGCATGGTTTCCCTATGGGAGCAACTACCCAACAGGTACAAAGTCTCATGTGGACAAAGACAGAGGGAGTTGGAGTCGCCAAACTCCAGGGCTCATCAAAAGGGAAGTGGCCAAGCGAAGTCTCGGAGGATTTCCAACAACATGCTGACCAGATGCACTATACCTACCATGAGGTGAGAGAGAAGACCCTACTGCACTTGATGGCTTGGGCTTGAGCCCTTGCTGGGTAATCAAGGGCAAACCCCACAACTGTCCTGCATTTTCTTCAAGAAGGTCAACTCCTGGATCTTCCTGATTATTTTGGGTGTTTCAAGGACCCTCTGGATCCCCCTGGTGCCCCATAAGGACTACAGCATACTCTGTGTGATTGGTTACTTTATTTTCAGACTGAAGTTCGCTACATAAACTCACTGCACAGTCCAACACATGTACACTTGACATAAAAGAGAAATCAATACAAAAATACAACTCTCAATAGTAAAGGAAACTTCCTTCACCTTCTTCCAGTCCATGCCAATGGGAATGCCAGGGTTCCAGGTTAAAATAGGGGGAAATACTGTGGAACGAAGAGGCAAAGAGCAGTAAGTATCACCATTGCTCCATAAGGTCCTCGGCTGGGGTAGGTATGGGTCTTCCAGCTGTGTAAGACATTTCTACCACCTCTCCACCACAAGGACTATTCAAACGAGAATGGAGCGGAATTAACCCAGACCTGGGGGCCAAGACAGATGAGGATGCATGTGTTTTGTTAGTTTGGCTGTATCTGAGAACCCTGGGAAAAGGTCATGCTCCTGGGGCTGCTGGACACTCTCCAGTGTGTGGGGTACAGGGAGTGTGTACTGACAGCAGTCACATGACCCTAGCCTAGCATCAGCATCTTGACACACAGTTGTCATGGAGACCCTGGCATTCTCTCCTCTCTCTCCCTCCCTCTCTCTCCTTTTCTCCCTTTCCTCCTCTCCCACTCCCTCTTTTCCTTCCTCCCTCCTTCACGCTGTCCTTCCCTTCCTCTCTCCCTCTTCCCCTAGGCTTTCAGGTCTGGTCCCCTGGAGACACAGCTTCAGGACTGAGCCTCCATCCTTGAGCATCAGTATGACATTTTAAAAGACCTCCCCACTCCCGACATCTCCTTGGGGAGTCCTGGGGTTTGTTTGCCATCAACCCATGGGCTTGGGAAAATCTGCTTAACCCTTTCCTGTGAGAGTGGAGTATGTCTGGAACTGTGGCTTCTCCCCTGCCACCACTGTCCTGTTGTCCCCACCCCATACCAGGGCCCCAAACACCTCCCCACCTTCCTTTTCCAGTCTTCCCTTCCTGCCTCATAGAGTGGGGCTCAAGTGTCAATGTGTGTCCCACAGGACCACAACGCATTTGGGCAGGTATCATCTGTAACAACAGTGGCACTAGGAAGCCTTGCTGGGTGAACACCGGGTTCACCCCCGACTCCTGCCCTCTGTATCTTCACACTCCACACTTGGCAAGTTAGCTGCTTGTTGCTAACTTCCTGGAAGTGACAGTGCTCTGTTTCCCTCTCATTAGCAGCAGGGCAGCAGCAGGGACCACTCAGGATCTGACAGGGCTATTCATACACTCAGCAGAGTCACAGGGCTCAGCAAACTAGAGGAGGCTTCCAAGGGCAAGGGCCTGGCTGTAACCCATGCCCAACAACTCCTTCCTACAGAAAGAGATACCTGTACATGGCAAAGTGGGAGGCAGCCACCATACAAGCTCCAGACCATGAGGCCCATGGGTAAAAGGTTCCTTGCATCATACATGAATAACTCAGGCTAGGCCATCCCAACCACAGGGGACCCTCCCATTCCCAGAGAGTTAGGGCTCTGGAAGGTGGAGTGGAGCTTGGTTAACAACTCTGGCTCCTCACCCTGAGCCCCACTTTTCCCAGAGGCCTCGGGGGCACCCAAAGGATAAGCCTCCCTAGCCCTGCTGGTCCTGGAGCATGTGAGGAAGGCCAGGCAAGTTCCACGGAGGCGGGCCAGGTCCCTGTGAGTGGTCTCGCTGACAAAGCAGTACAGCACTGGGTCGGCAACACAGTTGAAGCTGGTGAGGAGGAGGGAGAAGTGGTAGATATTGAAGATGCTTTTAGCGAACTCACAGCTGGCTTCCCAGAGGCTGCGCACCAGCAGCAGCACGTGGTAAGGGAGAAAGCAGGCCAGGAAGATGACCACGGTACTGAGCACCAGCCGCTGGATCTGGTCCTTGCGGCTCTTCTGGGTGCCGTGGCTGCGGCGCACGGCCCGCAGAATGCCCTGGTAGGAGGCCAGCAGCAGGCAGATGGGGAAGAGAAAGCCCACCAGGAAGCGGTAGTAGTTGATGCCACGTTGCCAGGGCTGGATGGGGTAATGCTCGAAGCAGACGCGGTGCTGGTCCTCGTCCTCAATGACCTCTTTGTGCTTGAAGAAGTAGATGCTGGTCAGCAGCTCCTTGGCCCAGATGACCACACTGACACCCATGGCTGCCTTCAGGGTGCGGAACTGGTGGAAGCGGAAGGGGTGGGCCACTGCCAGGTAGCGGTCGATGGAGATGCAACAGAGGAAGCCCACGCTGATGTAGATGTTCTCATAGAGGAGGATGCCACACACCTGGCAGGACAGGTCACCGTGGGACCAGTTGTCATGCTGGAGTACATACTGCAGCCAGAAGGGGAGCGAGCAGATGTAGAATAGGTCTGCAATGGTCAGGTTACACAGGTAGACTCCCAGCTCATTCCGGGCCTTGATCTGCAGATAGCCAAAGTAAAGGGATAGGCAGTTGGCTGGGAAGCCCACCACCAGCACAGTGACGTAGACAACTGGGGCCAGCGTCTGGTGGATGGTGTGGTCGATGCTGCAGGTCAGTGAGGAGTTGTCTGTAGTGATGTTCCTCATCTTTGGGCCAGAAGGGGCCTCACCCCTTATGGGCTTGGGGACAGAACCAATCTCTCCATTGTCATCTTGTTTACAGAAGGTGACTCAAGCTCTCTCAAGATCTGAACATCACTGGTGGTAGGTGAGCCCCTACAAGACAAGGTGGAGAAGGCTTAAAACAATCACAGCTAACATTTATGTAATGCCTACTGTATGCCAGACACAATTCCACATGTTGTATTCATTTACAAAGTATGCCAGCCAACCAACTCCAGTGCAACTAGAATATTCGAATGAGATGTACCAAAACTCTGAGATGAAGCTTGCAGCTCCCATTTCTGGTGTCTTATTCATTCCCACTCTCTTATTTATTTTCTTGATCCCTTAGTTCAGCAAGGGTGGTCAGGAGACCTTAGAAGCAGGAGCCCAACCTGAACCTGGTTCTCCAAAGGCTTGAGGCGAGGACATTTCCACCTACAAGGTGAGGGCTCCACCATCTTGCCTACAGCAATAACAGTCTAATAATAGTCATGGGACTGTATTAATTAGATCTAACATTAATGCCACAGTTACTCCTGGGGGTTGCTCCGGACGGCATCAGAAGAGACATGCACTGGTCCATATCTTATGGGGCTTTGGCAGAAACAAAGGTAAAGTTTCTCATAGTTTCCTGTCTGGGTTTCTGGGTGTTCCTCAGTAATTACTACCTCTCTTCTCTCCTTTATGGAGCTTAGGGAAAGTTCTGGACTAGAGACCAAAAGACATGAGGGCTAGGCCAAGACACCACTGCTAGAGTTTATGAGTCACTCACCTTTTCAGATCAGTTTCCTTACCCAGAAATTGAGAATAGTAACAGCAGCCCTTGTGGGTCAGCATCAGGACCACATCATGGTGGATGTGAGAATGTACGGTAATGTTTGTCAGAGGCAAAGGGGGGAATCAAAGATGGGACACACCACCAAATTAGTGAGAAGTTCATGGTGCTGAAAATCTAACGAAGAGGACTTCAGACAAGTAAGTCTGAATGGGACAGAATAAAATGTTTCATTGCATGTGTAAGTGTACTTTTTTTCTAGTATATATATATATATTTTTTTTATTTGTTTTTCTTGAATTTTTGTGTTTTTCATACAGAACATCTCAAACCATCTTAATCATCTTTATACCTCTGTCCCCACTGGCACCCTCCCATAGTGCCCCCAACCCTCCCATAGCCCATATAGTCTGTCATCCCTGTTAAGGCCCACTGTGTCAAGTCAGTGTTCCCAAGATGTTTTCCAGTGCAAGTCCGTCCACTGAGGTCTAGTCAGCCTATCTAGAGTCCCTTGTTTTAGGAAGATCAGCTCTTCTTCACCTAGCAGCAATCAGTTGCCAATATTTCTTCAGATAAGATTGGGGTCTGCTGTTCATGTTCCCAGTTCTATGCTGGGTTTTTGTCTGCCTGAGTTTGCACGGGACTTGTGTATGCTGACACCATTGCCATAGAATCGTATGAGCAGGTTCCCAGGAGCTTGTAGGACTCTGTTTCCAAATGGTCATGCATCTCTTCCCTGGCTCTTTCAATCTTTCTGGCCCCTCTTCCTCGATGGTCCCTGGGCCTTGGGTGGGTGAAGTTTAATACAGGAGTCCTGTCCAAGGACCAGCATTCAGCAGACTCTTGATCTCTATGCTTTGGACATTTGTGACCTTTGGTGTTCCTGGCTTTCTACTGTATGAGGGAGCTTTATAAATTAACATATTAAAACAATAAATGTCTGAATTGTTCCTCTCTCCTCTTTAAACACACTTTGCTATGTAGCAAGACTGACATCAAATCACAAACCTCCTGCCTCAGTCTCCCCAGTACTGGGATGATGAGCATGTACCACCTGTTAGACTCAATTGGTATTTTTCAATCTCTTTTTGCAACTCACTCCTTGAAAGAGCCTTGATCCCTCTTAGGTATTTTATTTCCTAACTACCTCCTGATGAAAATTTAGTATCACAGGTCTCCTGCACATCTGTTTATGCATTGAGGTCACTTGAAGGTGACATGTCATTGTGAGTCTTCAGATTTTTTTCATTCTACCCCCAGCCAGGAACTGATTTTTGATTCACCTTGAGAATCTACAATCCAGCTGGTTACAGATTCTAAATTAAGCTGCTTTGTGGGACCTGCAGATCAATGATGTCCTTTGTGTTTGCTTCAGAGAACTGAACACTGAGCTGGACCCCATAGGGAAACCCCCAAGAAACCATGATCAAGTCTCATCAGACCCCAGGACTCCAATTCCCTGTAGCTCTCTCCAAAGCCAAGCCCTCCTCTCTACCCCAGCTCCACTGTCCTCTACTCCCTCCCTCCTGCCATTTCCTAATGTGACTCCTGCCTAGCCTTGAGACCACCAGCGTAGGGATGGGCAGAGGAGCTGACTCTGTGTACTGGGAAGGACTCAGAGAAACCTAGGCCCCCTTTCCAGTCCCAGGGTCCATGAGGATCAACATGGGAGTTTCTCTAAGTCTTACTCAGTCTCGTAGATAATTAAGCACAGTTGTCCCCCTGACTTGTGATTTGCACATCTGTGACCTCAGATACCCATGGTTCACTGTGGTCTACATAGTGAGTTCCAGGTCAGCTGGGGCTACAGGGTCTCCCTGTCTCAAAAAGACAAATAAATAAATAAAATAAAAGATGTCAAGAATATTTAATCTCAGTGAGTTTACATTCCAGCCAGTGAAAAAATAAATAAATAAATAAATAAATAAATAAATAAATAAAAAACCAATATTTTGAGAGTAAAACCATATTCACATAACTGTTATTATAGTATATTGTTATAATTTTTCTTTTACTATTATTCATATCTTCCTGTGTCTAATGTACAAATTAAACTATTGTAGGTATAGGTATGTGTCTGAGTTAGCATTAACTGCTGACTTGACACGGCCAAGAATCACCTAAAAAAAAAAAAAGAGTCTCATTTGAATAACTGTCTTTGTAAGGTTGGTCTGTGGACATATGAGAAATTGTCTTGATTATTTTATTTTATTTATTTATTTAGGTCTTTTTGAGACAGGGTCTCCCTGCAGCCTCTGCTGGCCTGGATTCGCTATGGAGACCAGGCTGGCCTCGAACTCACAGAGATCCTCCTGCCTCTGCTTCCCAAGTGCTGGGATCAAAGACGTGCTCCACCATGTCTGGCTTGTCTTGATTATTTTAATTGATGCACAAGGACCTATACTACTACGGGTAGCACCATCTCCTGGGCAAGTGGTGAGAACTCAGTGTAACAAGTTTGAGGCATCTGCTGTGGATTTTGGAATGTGTCTCCTTGGGATACGGTGGACCACTGTGCATTCACTTTTCCTGGATGAAAGGACCAAAATTTTTATGTGTTTCTAAAATGGGGAGGAGATGGGTCTGGTCCAGAGTTCGTTCTCTCTCTCTCTGGACTCCAACTCCCTCTAGCTCTCTCTAAAGCCCAGCCCCTCCCATGCCCTAGCTCTCCCTTCTTGCCTCCACCAATCTCTCCCAGGAGTACCCCAGACCTTTCCCATTCTCTGCCCCAGCTCTCCTCTCTGCTTTTATCTCTGCCTTCGCCCTAATCCTGCTACTTAGGCCACTGAGCATCATCCATGTGTCAGCTACCACCATCCTTCTGAGGAGCAGGCCAGATCGTCTCCTTGCTTTATACCCTCTGGGGCAGCTTCTCTCACACCTAGAATAAAACCCAAACACTCTTGCCAGACCCATTATACCCATGGTGCCAGATCCCTTGACCTTGCCTGCCATCCCACCTTGTGGTCACACAACCAGCTCTCTGTTCCTCAGTCCCTGCTCCTGGGTCCCGCCCAGCCCTTGCATCAGCTGCCCTCCTTCCTGAAGTTCTCCTCCCTATGTCCATCACCTACTCCCACCATAGCATCTGCTTCTCTGTCAGATCTCTGCTTAGATGTCACCTCCTCTAAAGCCTCCTGGTATCCCCCCTAAGCATGCCCTCCCATCCTATTTGATTGTTCCATAAGCTCCTCTGAGATGTTTCTTGTTTATCTATTTGTGTGCCTGTTGATGGTCAGCCTAACACAGAGATTTAAATTTCAACATGGCAGAGGTCTTGTCAACCTGCTCACTGATGTCTCCTCAGCAGTATGAACTATGTAGGGACATCTTGAATGAATAGGTGAGTGCCACTTCCCACTTTCCAGGTGGGGAAACTGAGATTCAGAAGGGGCTGTTGAGATGGCTCAGTAGGTAAAGGCACTTGCTGTCAAGCCCGACGAACTGAGTTCAGTTCCATGATCCACATGTTGTAAGGAGAGAACTGACTCCTGCAAACTGTCCTCCGACCTCTACACATGTACAGTAGTGTACACACATACACATACATGCACAGACACACACGCTCTCTCTAAATAAAACTGAAATTTTAAAAACTGTAAAGAGGACGGGGGTTGGAGAGATGGCTCAGTGGTTAAGAGCACTGACTGCTTTTGCAGAGGACCAGTGTTCAATTCCCAGCACCCACATGGTGGTTAACAAATAAAGGGTTTCATGAAATGCTTTCAAAGGTCTGTTTGAATTCTAAAATACCAGCCTTGCTATCTGACTCTTGGAGACTGTGGCCTGTCCCTGATTAACCCTTGGTCCATAGAAAGGATGAGTAGCTATTAAGTGTTCTGGACAATGATGTTAAAACACAACGTTCTTTGTAAAAATATGTGCTTTCCTGTCAAAGTAACTGCTGCTCTAAAATGAATTCTTCCTGGCTATATTAGTTCCTTTTCTTGTTGCTGTGATAAAATACCTGAAAGAAACAAGGAAGGATTAATTCCAAACATGATTCTGAGGATACAGTTCACCTTGGAGTCAGGCGCTGCTCCCAGCTGTAACAGGGAGAGGCTGAGGAGGCTGGTTATGCGGGCTTGACAGTCAAGCAACAGAGAGAGAGCTCTTCTGAGAGTTGGGTAGGACTTGAATCCATAAGACCCATCCCCAGAGATTCACTTCCTCCAGGCCCCACCTCCTAAAGGTTCCACAAGCTCCTGAATCAATGTCACCAGCTGGGGGGTGGTCAGGTGCTCAAGCATGTGAATCTGAGGCATACATGTCATGTCAAACTCAAGCCATAAGACTAGTCTAGAATTGAACCACATCTAGAATAAAGTCTTCCTCT